TAACTGCTGTCCGCTACTACCCGACCTTCCTCTACTTATAACTGATATCAGTGACTATTCACTGATTCACTTTAAGAGAGTGTATTATCTATTATACTTATCGACATTATTTTATATAAGGAACATTAGTCAACAAAGTACTGAATAATGAGTCATAAATACGATTTTGTAATTGATTATGTTATCAACAAAAGTTTACAATTATGAATGTGCTGGCTTTAAAATCTAATCTCGCACGTGCGAGATATAATTTTTATATCTAATAATGTTCCTTGGACTATTAATACAATCTTGTATGATGTGTGTGTATGTGTGTTAAATTTGACAACACATTCATTTTGGTTCAGCTTTGTTATTGTACAAAATTCGGATTTCAAACTCTCTTGTCAAACAGTATCAGCTGGATACTAGGCAACGAAATATTTGGTGACTATCAACTGTACACTCAGTTGCATTGATGAATATACTATATATATTCACTAGATTGATAATCACTAGAAAATTTCAACCATCCGTGCCCGTTTCTAATCGTTTTTCATGACTGTTGATTCATCAGGCAAGCGGGAATGTGTCAAAACAGAAGTGACATTTTGACAGCTTGACGTTTCTTACATATGTGTTTTTAACAGAAGGTTATCCGCTCACGTGTAACGCGCAATCAGTGGAAAAAGAGTAAGAATGTTAAAAGTAAATAAAAAATACTTTTAAATATTTTTTTTACTTAAAATATTTTTTTCGAATATAATAAAGTAGAATGTTTATTAATATTCTGGAGCGCTTATCAAATAGTGAGAGAAAATAGCGTGAAAATATTAAAGTAAAATGTTAACACGAAAAGTTGTCAAAATGTCATTTCTATTTTGACACATTCTTGCTTGCTGGATGAATCAACAGTCACGAAAAACGATCAGCTAGAAACGGACACAGCTGGTCGAAACTTTCTGACTATCGATCTGATAAATGGTATAGCATCAATGCAAATGAGTGTACTTATGTTTATGTATATATATATATATATATATATATATATATATATATACATAACGGGTGTCCCATTTTAAATTACGCACCTGAATATCTCGTCAGGGAAGCCACCAATCCGAAAATAACCCTTACAAAAGTTGTTGGGTTCGGAGGAGGACATCGGATGGTGATTTTTAATTTTACCTTGACCTTGACCTTCAAGGTCAGTTGAAGGTCAAATCGAATTTTTAAATAGAAACCCCTATTTTTCCCCCGGATTCGGAAAGAGCGCAAAATTTTACGTTTAGATGAGTACTTGAGGCTCTTCTTTTGAATGACCTTCAGAGGTTATTTCAAGGACGAAATATTTGAAATTACGCACCTCTTCTTTGGAATGACCTTTAAAGATCATTTCAAGGTCGAACCGCTTACAAGTCTAGCATGACCTGAAAACCAAAATTAATCGTGATTTGTTTTTTAAAATATTTGAATTAGTAGTCATTTGTATAAAATAAAATTGTTCACTAGAGCCTGCGTTCAGTCATCGACATAATACATACATCGATGTCCAGGGCCCACGGCGAGGACGTAGCAGAATGGATTTTAGGGCCCTATTTTGGTCCGGCCAATTAAGGCAAGACCATAGAGAAACCAGCCGATTAAGGCAAGAATCATTATTATTACTAGGGTTTACCTTATTAAATTGCGTAATTTCAAATATCTTGTCCTTGAAATAACCTCTGAAGGTCATTCCAAAGAAGAGCCTCAAGTATCCATCTAAACGTAAAATTTTGCGCTCTTTCCGAATCCGGGGTCAAAAATAGGGGTTTCTATTTAAAAATTCAATTTGACCTTCAAATGACCTTGAAGGTCAAGGTCAAGGTGAAATTGAAAATCACCATCCGATGT